TTTTGACATACAAAAAATTGTACTTCGATGTCTTACTGATTGAGGAATGATGAAATGTTTGTTTTAAAAGAAATAAAACTTTTGAATATAAAAAACAAACAAACAATATGCTTTGTCCATCCCAAGGATAAAACACCCAGTCACAAACTGAGCAATGTGATATATGCAGTACAATGCAATGAGCCATGTGCAGATCTGTACATTGGGGGGGGGGACGGGGGACAAAACAACCACTTCATAAAAACATGGCACAACATAGAACAAACCTATCAGGACTAGAGTCAGCAATCAATCTGCATTTAAAAGACAAAGTCCATTCTTTTGAAGATAGCAAAGTCCACATTTTGGACGGAGAGGACTACTGGTGTGAAAGAGGGGTCAGAGAGGCCATCTATGTCAAAATTGAACAGTCCTCTCTCAACAGAGGGGCAGGGATATGACATCATCTTTCTCCAGTCTACAATACAGTCCTTTCAGCAGTTCCAAGAAGGCTCTACAGCAGGGGTTCAAACTCGTGTCGTCATGTTGTCATGACTTTTCCCTCCTTTGCTAAACTAGCATGTGATGCATCCAGCCTATGGGCCGCGAGTTTGACACCTCTGTTCTACAGCCATTTGCACTACCTGACAACCCTGATGACATAAATAAACCTTCAGGTGGCCTCAACGACTTCTAAAAGAATGCAAATGATCAACTGTCTGCAAGGAGTATAAATCCTTTCATTCCCAACCATCCAGTCAGAGCTGAAGAACTTCTTGGATGAGGAAAGTCTTCAAAGAAAAAACAAACTCCAGTTCCCTCTTGACAAAGTACCTTTGGGACAACCGTGACCTAGATGACTGACAAGCTCTATAGACAAAGCACAATATAGAAAAATGAAATTAAAAACAAAACTAATGCAAACACATGATTATCTATTTTTACAGAAATAGAATGTTTCTTGAAATGAATGGTCAATTTCCTGAAGATTTTCAATGTCAACCACAGTTTGCTGGGAATGATGGAAGCCCCATCTTTATCCAGCCTTTTCCTATGAATTTCTCTCTTTTTAAGAGGAAAGGGTAGGCCTAATAGGGCTCAAAATCTGTGTATGTGCCAAAGAGCCATCTCTCACCTGTGGGTATGTGGACTGTGAATGCTGTTTCTCATGCAGTTTCATGCAGGCTACAATAGGTTTATGCACTGTTTGTAGTTCTGCTAGAAGTCCTCAATAGCTATCGTCCAGTCTCCAACCTTCCCTTNTATCCTATGTTATTATATATGCAGGCCATGTTGCAAAGATGCCAGACCATCGCATCCCCAAACAGCTCCTCTATGGTGAGCTGTCTCAAGGAAAGTGATCACACGTGGGACAAAGGAAGCGATACAAAGAAATGCTGAAAGCCTCCTTCAAGTCCCTGGAAACTGACACCACCTCCTGGGAAACCCTGGCACAAGATCGTTCAACATGGAGCATGCTGATCCACCAAGGCTGCCAGACATCTGAGGACAGAAGAACAACCATAGCACAAGGCAAGCGAGCACTCTGCAAAGCCAGAGCTTTTCTTAGTGCTGTGGCACTACAGTGTGTCCTGGCCCTTTTGAAGAGGGTCTGGACACAGCTTATTTAGTGGGTAGTGGGGTGGATGCATGGGAAACTGAGGATCTGGTTCATGTGTGTGTGGGATTGTGGTAGATGCAGATTTCCAGTTCTCCATTGAATTATTGTAAGATGTAAAATGGATTATTAATAAGATGAATTATTATTTATATTAGTACCAGGTAAAACCAGGAAAAGAAGGAAACGAAAAAAGAGCATCCAATCTCGAGCAGGTAGCAGCATCTCGCAGCAATCTTCCCGCTACAGTCAAAGGTCATGGACATCTCTAGTTGCAGAAGCACAAATGGAAGCTGAGGTGGCCAAAACAGATCTACAGACAGCTAAAGAAGAGCAGCTGCTGAAGGAAGAGATAGCAACCTTGGAAGCCAGAGCTCAAGCAGAGAGAGCAGTTGAAGAAGCAGAGAGGGCAGCTGAGAAAGCTAAAGTTCAGGTTCAACTAGAATATCTTCAACGCGGGAAGCAAAAGGAAGACTAATACGGGCCAAAGCTCTACATGCTGAGGCTAATGGCGGCTTCCCTGACTTTGATCTTGGAAATTTAGAGGAAGAAACCCTGACACATGTGTGAAAGCTTACGTAGATGACCAACGTGTGGCACAACAGGGACAATCACCAATCCAACAAACTAATGAAGTAGATCATGTCGTTCAAGTTGCATCACTCAACCCCTCCCTTGGAATNAGAGCACCAATGACCCCACAGTTTTCTTCCTCCTCCTCCTCCTCCTCCTCCTCCATACCTCACTCTCTTCTAGCACTGGTGATGTTACCTTGTTTGAGTAATGAAACATCAGCAAGAAAACAACCAAGCAGCCCCCCCTCCCCCGTCCTCCTCCTTCACCACCGCCACCATTTGCTCCTCCACCTGCTCCTCTTTCTTCTTCTCTCCATCATACCCTCCCCCCTTCTAGCCCTGATAATGCTACCTAGTTTGAGTCATGAAATGCCTGCAAGAAAACAAGCTCAGGGAGCACCACGGACCCCGCGATTTCAAGCCCGAGCTACAAATATTCTCCTTTATCGGTATTTCCATTCAGTTAAGCAGCAAAGCAGAAAATCTGATCAATGCATAAAACTCCTTCAGGTTATATTGCCAAGGATCCTTTTGAATCCAATTTCATTTTTATTCTCCCTGTCCTTCTATTCCTTGCTTTGAATAAACCAGACAGGAAAATCGATGAACAAATGACTGCACAGAAATATAAATGGCTGTTAACATTTTGCCCCTAGCCAATAAGAAGAAAGAAAAGGAGCGTCCTGAAATTTCTCTCCCTTCAGACTTCGAACACACAATCCATGTTGGCTTCGATGCCGTCACTGGGGAATTCACAGTAAGTCTTCTCTTCCTTCTCTGCCTACCTTCTACACCCTTTCCTTCCCCAGTCATTTGGTCCTCCACCGGCACAGGTAGTCCTCGACTTATAACAGTTCATTTAGGGACCATTCAAACATACAACGGCACTGGGGGGGAAAGGACTTATGACCGTTTTTCACACTTATGACTATTGCAGTATCCCTAATGGCCATGTGATCAAAAGGCAGATGCTTGCCAATTGGCATGTATTAATGACAGGTTGCAAAGTCCCAGGATCTTGCGATCCCCTTTTGCGACCTTCGGACAAGCAAAGTCAGTGAGGGAAGCCAGGTTCAGTTAACAGCCGCGTTACTAACTTAACAACTGTTGTGATTCACTTAACAAATATTGCAAGGAAGTTCATAAAATGGGGGAAAACTCACTTAACAAGTGTCTCGCTTTGCAAGAGAAATGTTGGCCTCAGTTATGGTCATAAGTCGAGGATCACCTGTATTTCTTGAATGCAGAAATGGATGTGAGAATAGAGGCAGTGCTAACCACCTGCATGGTATTCATTAGAACAGGGATGGACATGGGGTCTATGCCAGGGATGGCGAACCTATAGCAAGCGTGCCAGAAGTGGCCCACAGAGCCATCTCTCCGGGCATGCCAGCCATTGCCTGTTGCTGTTCCGGTGCGCACATGTGTGCCAACCAGCTGGTCTTTATGTGCTGGAGCACCGGGAACTGGAAGAGCAGTTCCTGGGCATGCATGCGTGCACCGGGAAGCCAGGCTTCTGGTTTCTGGCATGCACATGCATGCCAGCCAGCTGGTCTTCATGTGTGCATGTGCACCCGAAACTGCAAGACCAAGTGACTAGCGTGCAAGTGCATTCTGGAAACCAGAAGCCCAGTTTCCTGGCACATACATGCACACCAGGGAACTGCTCTTCTGGTTTCGAAAGCTCCCGCATATGCACACTGTAAAGCTGCTCTTCCGGTTTCCAGTGCTCCCCTGCATGCACACGCGCGCTCCTGTTTTGGCACTTGGTGCCGAAAAGGTTTGACAACACTAGTCTGGGCCCTGGTTATGTTCAAGGTGTCAGCTCCAGCCATCCCAGAGGCAGCCCAGATTCCTGGAGCTGCCATTCAGGGAATAAGCCCGGGCCAGCTGCCAAGACTCACCAGGCTTCACTCCTACACAACCAGCTGAGTAAATCTACAAAGCTAGTGATAACTGACTGACAACAATCCACGATTAATTGCCTGGTGGTGTTTGTTTTGGGTTACGAGGGGATGGGTGTGCACACACGCGAGGTGCAGGTTATCCTAATTACTAAGTAAATATAAAAGGTGGTGGGGAGCACCTGGTGGCAGCTCTGACAATTTATTCATTGCCTTGGTGCTTTGTTGGTTAGTTCCTGATGAAGGAAGGCTACAAACTGCATTTCAAACCGTTTCTGTGTTTGGCTGGTTTCATTAACCCTTCGGAACCTGACAGTTTGTCAGAGCTCCCACCATGGCTGAAGGGACAATGCTTGGGTTGGAGGCTGGGGGCTTGGAGGAGTCTGCTGTGGCAACTGATACACCTGTACTGGAGGCTGTGTCAGGGCCAGCAGGAGAGGCACCGTTGGATGTGAGGTTTAAGGACCACTTGGTGGCATGGAAGCCTACAGCAGAACCTCTGGAGGCCGATGTGGGCCACGCCCATGCAGGGATTGGTGTCTGGACTTGCCAATGGCTCAGGACCACAGAGCCTTACCACCTCATGCTCCCCAGCTCACCTCTTTTGGACCCCATTTTGCCCAATGGCATGAAAGGCACAGCTCAGATGACGATTGGAGTTACACCACTGCGGTGGACAGCCCAACTCTACAAATGCTGCAGGAAAGGTTTGGGCCAGTGGGCTTCCGAGATAATGGACGTGGCAGTGGTTGGAGAGGGTCCCTGGAACATGGATCCCAACAGGCAGGGGGAGTCGTTGGACAGCCCAGCACAACCAATTCAGAACATTATGGTGCCCAAGGGGCCACAAGAGTAGGAGGTCAGCAGCCTGGGCTAGGTTTACCCCAAGCTGCCAAGGACACCTGCGGGAGACGAGCGGCGCGAGAGAGCTCTGCACCTCACCCTCTCCTTACCCAGAGGGAGTCTCCAGCTGTTGAGGAGCCCAGAGTGATGGGATGCTGGGATCCACCAGCAATACAGGCTACATTTGACAGTGTGAGTGGTCCTCTTCTTAGGCCAGGTGTTAAATCACATGGATCGTTACAGCCATATGTATACGTCACAGTGGGACATGGTGATGGCTGTGATGGACGGAGAGGCTGTTGATTGGGTGGCTGATCTATATTGAGATCATGCTGTGGAACTCACAGACAATGGTCGGTTCCTGATGGCATTGCGAGAGAGGTTTGAAATACTACCAGGATCCAGTGGGTGGAAGCAGAATTACGGGCTTCAAGACAGCAAAGGAAGCCAGTAGCTGAATACATCACAGAGTTCCAGTGTCTGGCCAGTAAAGTGGGGATGTGGCCAGAGAGGTTGGTGGTGCATTACTTTAAGGCTGGTTTTGACCGAACACTACGCCGGGCCTGCGTCTACAGAGAGTTGGCACCTAGACTGACTGCATGGTTCCAGGCTGCCATGGAAGTAGCTATAGCGTTCCATGAGGTTAAGCCAGAATGGGAGAGGGGTTGGTGAGGACAAAGACTGCAACAGATGCGTTGTATCGGAGGAAACTCTGCCCCAAAAACCCTGCAACCCACAGCAATCTGCCATGAGACTGGTCCTACAGCGTCTGTGAGCACACCAAGGAAAAAAAAAGATGGCCAGGAAGAGCGTGAGGTGTGGCGAGGAGAAGACACACGGGGTGAACCAACCAGTTCCTATACCAGTTGACTCCAGCCCATCGGGTGATATGCTCAATACTGGTGGTAGCGACTGTGGGGAGGGTTCCAACCCGATGATAACAAGGACTATCAAACCGTTTGTGATACAGGTAGTGGTGGAAGCGGCCAGGCAACAACAATGTACAGCCCTGATCGATTCAGGGTGCACTCGTTGCTTAATGAACACCACAGTCGCTAATAGTCTTAGGGTGGGTCTCAGGAAGTTGGCTAGGCCGATGCATTTTAACCAGATGGATGGGTCGTTATTGGGAGGCCAACTAGCCACACATGTATGGTGGTATTGCGGATAGGGCCCCATTGGGAGTTCTTGCGTTTTGTAGTGGTTCCACACATTACAGAGGAGATTGTACTAGGTCTGGCATGGCTGGATAAGTGGGGACCCACGTTATGGTGGTAGTAGCCATCTCAGAATAGGCCTTGGTCCTGACCCCCCTCCTCATGAGGCGCAAACCATGGCCCAGGGTCCGGTGGGATTCCAAGCTACAGTGCCATTGGTACATACAGCTGGGGAGGAGTGATTCCCTCAGGTATATGCAGGATTAAAAGATGTATGCAGCGAAAAGGAATGTGATACTTTGCCCCCTCACCCCACCCCACCCAAATTGTGCAGTCGAACTACTCCCTAGGGCTAAACTGCCAAAGCCCTAAATGTATCCTATGACCCCGCAAGAGCTAACAGAAATGAGGGCATACGAGACTTCCTGGGAGGAGCTTACTGGTGGGGGCAGCAAAAAATCAGCTGCCTCCGAATTCCTGGCTACGTACCTGTTTAGAGGATCTTCCATCTGACGTCTTATCAGGTTTTCTTATCCTTCAGGCAAGAGGGAAAGAAGAAACTGTTTTGCTGGCAAATGCTCTTCGATTTTTGCAGCTTTTGTGCTTGCAAGGAAAGGGTGGCTAGCCCAAGGCAAAACGGCTGACAGTGCTGGAAACTTCAAACTGCCTTGTGCAGGACAAAG